TCAACAGGTCAATCATGCGTTCTGGTTAATGGTTGGTGACATTGAAACGGTGTGGAATAAGCGACACAAAAAGCTGAGACACAAAATTGATGAATGTCATTAGAAAGATAATGAAGAATGGAAATACCAAGCGCAGAAATTTTAAGAGTCAGAAGAATAAAAAAAGGCGGAAACATATTAAACTTGAAGAATGATAACGCATAGAACAAATTAGAACGGTAATAAAATTTTAGTAGACATTGTGAATAACGTACATTAATGATAAATTAAAATATTCGGTCATAAGTTTAATCATAAGTACTCTATAATGATGATGGAAAATACTTATTAAAGGAATTCATAGTAATACGTAATATATAAAGTTATATAAATATAAACTTATCAATTTTAAGGTCTTCGACCTTTTTTTTTGGGAACGGTTTCAATCTTTTCAAGTCTAGCAAAGATATCATCGAATTTGGAATGATGTTGCCATAATATACTACCAAGTACTATGTCAGCTATTGAAAGTATCAATAATATAATAATTAAAAAAGCAGTCCTTCTATCAGGTATTATAGATTGCGACTGCTGGTTTGAATTGTGAGATATTCGAGTACGAGTGGTCATTTTAATCAAAGTGTCTTATATAATTGTTGATTTAACTTAATAAATAAGAGGATTGGGCTGGTAAAAAAAAAAGACGAAAATGAAAGTAAGAAAAAAATCCAAAATATTCTAAGTATGTTGAAATCATTGTGTTGGATTTTATTTTGTATATTATTTAAAAGATTGCGATGAGATTAATTGGAATTTCAAATGCTCAGCTTCTAATTATCAAGCGCTCGTTGTTTGTGAACAAGATTAACTAGTTTTTTTTACCAGATTTTACGAGTATGAATATACCTAATGGTTTGCATCTAAACAATTATATAAACGTACGACTAAAAGCGCGTTAAATCAACACATAGACTTTATTTAAAAGATCGGCGTAAAGTATTTTCGAAAACTTTAACGACCAGTTGATGAATAAATATAATATATAGTTTATAGTTTCCTTTGTTTTATTTTTTTTTTTCACTATTGGTAGGGATAAAAGGGAAAATATAGTGTAAAAAATCGTTTTTCAGCCTCGCCTCAAAATAAAACCCCAGCAGTTTAGAACAATTGCGTGTATTTTTGCAGCTTCAATCCTTGACTTTTTTATATAAAAATTTTGTTATGCGTGCGGAATATCCAAGCACAGGCTGGTTGGGATTTGCGGGGTGCCGAAAATATTGAACCGCTTAAATCTGAATAAAGGAGGGGCGTTTCAGAAGGAGCTGAAGCCACTCAAAAATTGAAGGTAGCGGCCATAACCGGCAACACTTAATTCCATAAAATCAAGCCAGGATCACACATAATATAACATAATAGAAAAAAATAGGATGCCCAAGGGGGGATTAATCGACCCCAACTCTAACCTTAAAGGCGAAGGTCAGAAAGATTTATTGTCAAGGGGTCTAATTCACCCCCCCCCCCCCATATTATGGGGAATTTCGATTCATAAACGATGGCTAGGCCTGGGGTTGAATCTTTGTCCGAGGGCAAATTGAAAACTATAGAAAATTGCAAAAACGAATTCAAATCCACCTGAGTTTGTTTAATTTGGCCCATTAAGGTTCAAGGGATTCGAAGCTTATTAAACCCGTTAAGAAAAATGACTTATTTTATGGATGTCATTATAGTTGGGTGGAACTAAAAATGCCAAACCTTTGGGTTGGAGAGGGGTGTTCGAATCAGTTTTAAAATAACGCCATATGATCATCATTCCAAGCCCTTGTCGGGAGAGGGTTTGGAATGCAATTCATGCAGCCAAATCACCCCCATCGCGATAGGGAAAATGGCATTTTTAACAAACCACATGGGGGGTAATAATATGGACAACACCCAAAGGGCAATATAATTATTTTTACCCCATGCCTCAAACAGGGGTGTCTTTATCACACCGCCATCGAATCTGGCATTTTCAGGTGGTGGGGACCAAAACCCCGACCCCATGGAAGAATACCCCCAAAACACGGGGAAAGTCACGAATGCTTCCACAAAACCCGGGGGGACCCACTGAAATACCCCCCCCCCCTCTCTCCAAAAGATATAAAACAATCTTAAAATAATTTTTATCTTGCCCAAAGAAATGGAATTTAGGGGGGGATCAGGGGAACCATTCCAAGTGGCAAAATTTGCGCGATAACTTGAAAAGGGCCACGGCAAACCGCACACACTAGGTTTTTGATGGTTTTCTAGTCTTGAAGTAAGATGAGGTACATTCTAAGGAATAATTTTAATCAATTCAAATTATAGAACCCCTATTGAAATTCTTTATTTTAGTTTTTTTTTAATTTGCGGCCAATTTGGACCTCAGACCTTTTTGGAATACGGAGGAGGAGCGCGCCATCTGGTTGCCCTTTTTATTGCTTGGTCAAGCATTCCCCCGGACCGCTTGAGGCAAGATGGTCGAGTGGTCTAAGACGTCACGTTCAGGTCGTGATCTCCCCTGGAGGCGTGGGTTCAAACCCCACTCTTGTCAATCTTTTTCTATCTAAATTTTCCACTGATGCAAGATTGGGAATTCTTTTTGCAAGGAGTAAGTTTCTGAAATAGCAAGGGGGGAAATACCTTTACGTAGTTTCAGCACGTCCACAATCAAATTTAATATCTTACCTTTTTTTTAAATTTAAATTTACAACAAAAATACACCCCTTTAAGGACAGGGGCAGCTCCTCACCCAAGGAGGCGCTCTCGAACCCACATCGAAGCGACCCCGCAGGGGCTTCTATTTGCTGAAACGTCCAAGAACTCTGCGCTGCGAGAGCTGCGATCAAGCCTTCATAAATTGCTTTGTTGCTTGAAACGCTGAGACTACGCGGTGTGTAGAGCAGCCACCACTGCAATCGAGGATACTCAATAGACTCAAGGTTACCTATCGCTACACCTGGGGCATAGCCCGGTGTACCCGCGTAAAAGGCTTTGCGCAGTGAACAGACCGTGGATATCAGCAGCGGAATGGCTTCGAGAGTGTAAATAACCTCCGCAGAAAGGATAACAACGCGGTCACAACATTCAATCAGCTTTGGGTAATCGGTTGAGTCATCACCCCAATTCAACATAGTTGCCTCTGCCTGTACCCCATGTTTCCCACAACATGATAACGGTAGGAAGGTGCCATCCTGGCATTGCTCCTGGAAATTTTGAGAGCACAAAGAAACGCATTCCTTATTTCCATCCGTGGCGATAATGCGTGCGGTGACAGTTGCGTTGGCCTGGCGCTTCATTTCAATAACGATGAGGTGCCACAACGCCATTGAGAGAATGCCACATCCGCACCCCAGGTCCAGAAAATTCACCCGGAAGTTACCTGATGCAAGTTGATACGGACGAGAAAGAGCGTTTTGGAGAACTGCACGGTCGCGTACTAACCATTCCACGAAAGCAAGAGATCCATTCCACACTGTTAGCCCCGTAGAATCAAAGCCACTGAGAAGCCCAACAGCATCCGAGGGTGGCAACGTGGGGAATGCCCGTAGGAGGATACTAAAAGAGGACTCATTGCTTGCCGTGAACTTGTACTCTTGTAATGAATAAAAAGGCTCTCCCTCGTGCATGGGGACATTATCGAGCGGGTAGCTTACCTCAAACGGCATACTACCTAAATTAAATAAACTATGTGCTCCATATCAATAGCAGCATAAATAATCAGGAAAGAGGAGGGCAAATAATAACAAAGAAAACAGGGGAGGTTTTTCTTCATTTTGTTGGCATTGTGTATTTTTCCCATTTCCACATTCAAAATGTAAGAGCGCTTTAAAGCAATCTTAGTAAAAAAAAAATGCTTCCTCTCAAATTTTGTTATTGCAGTTTTTTTTTCAACAACTCTATATAAATTAGGGGAAGGTAAGGAAAGGACGCCAACCATGTGTCTTCTCCGACATGGATGGCATTTGTCTAGTTTATGTTTATTTTGAATTCCTTGCAGATCTAAAAACAGAGAATGGATCAAAATGAGCCATTGAAATGGTGCAAACAGAGTTGTAAAGAGGCATGGTAATAAAAAGTTTTACACAACACTGTGATAGCAACGTGCCAGTTCGGACGTCTCGAACGCCTCTAATGTGCTTTAAAGCGCTCCGAATAGCTTGCGCGGGAAGATAAAGCCGAAAAGCTTCGAGGTTTGGTTGTGGTTGCCAGTGGCACCTTTCCGTCAATGTATGCGTTATTGGAGGAGCAAGATACCCTATCGTCGTGCGAGGCAAGACGCACATCGACCGATTCCTTCGCGCCCTTTTCGATAGTAAAAAGTGGAAGCCTCAGAATGGGTGTCTCGGGATACTGGGTCGCTGCCGCAGGTGGGCCGTCTCTGCAGGGGTAGGAGCACAAGTCCTGGCGTAGCCCAGCTGCGAAGTCGCGGTGCTGTCGGGACGCCACACCGCGTCGAAGCCTCGCGACGCCCTCGATGTAGCCCGGGGGCACAAAAGAGGAGGGCCCAGGGGGGGGGCGGAAATCGACGCGCGCAGTGGTCGGCGTGTCGTCCAAGGGGTCGTGGGGTCGGTCCGGCTGCTTCACCAGTTTGGCGCAGTAGGAGCGGGTGACCCTGTGGTAGTGCGGCGCATCACCATTCTCCTCCTCGGAGGGGCACCGGCCACGGTAAGGAGTAATGTGAGGCCTGAAGGAAGGCATCCATTCAAGTGGCTTAATCCATGCCTTCCTTTCCAATTGGAGCTTCTTTCCATGTGTGTAGAGACGGTCGAACACTGCGCTGTGTTGAGGAGTACTTGTCTGTGGTGGCTGTTTGGTTTTCCTGGGGGATGGTCGGCGGGGGGCCGAGCCATCATCAGCACTTGCTTCAAGTGACGGACCTTGTGCTCGTAGTTTAAGTTCGCTTGAAGCTGTTTGCAGGGCGTACCGCTTAGATACCGGTGACCGGTTCCTACGCGGTGTCAATTTACTGGACCTTCTCATGGGTTTTATGAATCTACTTGTATTGGAGTCCTGTTCTTTATTACCCTGTTTGAATAAGGCACGTCTGTCGGTGTTTCCACTACCCGTTTTAGGGAACAAAGAAGACCGAACCCCTGCATCCGCGTGAATTAATACAGGCGGGACTAGGGAAAGTAACCCATCAACCGGCCCGTCATCTTGTGAAGAAATCACACTTTTCGGAGGCCCTTCGGCAAGCTCCGGATTCCCTAGGTGAGGGGGTGCAGGAGGGATCATCGAAGACTCAAGAGCAGCAGGCGAACAATAGTCGCACATAACTTCAGCCATGTGCTGCATATCTGTCGCTTCCGAAGTGGGAACACCACACAATACATCATACCAACAGTCCTCTATCATTTCACGATTCCAATTGAAGGAATGACCCAGTAAGGAGAACTCATGATAGTTTATCTTCCCGCCGTATCCACCGTTTTCACGAGGCCGCGTTAGCAAGTTCACTAACTTTTTTATGCGCTCTGCACTGATGCTAACATAAGAACTAAATGAACTGCATAATGAGCTGATGGAAGACGGCTGAGATAGAGTTGATGTAGACATTGCTCTGTTACTGGTACAACAGATTGTGTCCCCCTCCTCCAGTATATCTTGATTATAAAATTGTGATTATAAGTACCCAAACTAGCGTCAGATTTTTTTTCTTTACCCATCAAAAGTTTGTGCTGACCTCCAATAAGCTGGTGAAAAAGGAATGCGGAAAACAATGTACTGGAATTGTCTGTTTGTGACATATCCATATCATGACTTAGAAAAGAATAACGATTGCCAATTGATGCGTCCTTATTTTTCTTTTTGCACACCTTTCAGATATGCAAATAAGGCTGACAACTTTTAGTGCTGGATCCCATTTCAATATTGTAAAATGAAAATAATTATTATCGAAAAAAACGTAAATACGATAATTTCAGCAATACACGCACAAAACCATGATACGACATAAGATAAAAAAAAAAGACAATTCATTTAAAACTTTTTTTTTGAGCAAACCACTTCATCAAAACGAAGAAAGATGAACATCCAACGAATAGCGCATTGGGTACTAGAATTTACTTTAATTACAAAGCATAAATTATGCATCCACTTCCAAATAGTAAGTTCTAAGGGTGAAGCCTGCAAGACGGTTCAGATGGGTAGACGAAATACCGGCAAAAACAATCATAAATTTTAACTAGCACTGCACCCGTCTGAAGGAAATCTTCCAGTTCCCTCCAGTCCATATCCATATGGAGGCTGAATCGGCTCATTAAAATACGTGCCTTAAATAAATAGTAATCCCATGAGACTTCGTTTGCTATAGCTGACATCTGTTCAGGTTGCTTTATGTAGGGATTCATCCACTCGCAAAGCTCCTTGTACACTACGTGATCAAATGAGGTATCGTGCAAGCGACTTGCCTTGGCGCTCATAAGTGCTTCGCTATTTTTTTCAAGGTCATTCAAAAGGAATTCAAAGGATGTAGACATATGGCTAGGCATGAAGGCAACCATACGTTCGCACTCGACCTGAATATTCTCCACGAGGTCTGGATGAATGAAATTTGGTATTTCGTCCTTGGACATCCCCAGGAGGTCTGGTGCAGATGATAAGACCATACCCATGGCCTTGAGCAGGCCAGCGGTTGGCTTAAATTCAACTATCATAAACAAAACATTCGACACATCGTGGGAGATGAAGTCCCACGCAATATCAAAAGAAGACCAGCGGTTAGGTGGAACGCTGCATCCGAATACAAGCGCCTCAGAGTATCCCGAATGCCCTGGAATTGGAATATAGATACCGAGCGGGTTGTACCAGCTCGTCATGCATCGAATCAGAAAGTCATTTTTCGAGCAGCGTGATTTTAGGCTGCGATTGCACGAATTGCGCTTAATAAGGTCTGAGTAGACCTGCCATTCGCGGGCAGCCTTCGCAGCGAACACGCACACACTCGCTGTGAGTATAACAAACCAAGATTCCTTGTTTTGTAGTGTATCTGCTAAGTTGAAAATTTTATTCCACTTGTCGCAAACCTCATTAAATTTTGTAATATCAAGCGGAAAGAGAAGAGTGCTGACGGGCGGATGAGAAACCGCAAAAGAAGGCCAAATGGTATGTAGAGGTCTGAGCCCTGATATTTCAATTCTTTCATGCAGAATCTGGATAAGAGTGGAACGCCTGAGGTTATTGTGACCTCTATCCTTGTCCAGGTAAAGGTGGGTCTTACACGGATGGGTCTCCACAGTGCGCTTGTCTTTTAGCGCGTAAGTGTGGGAGATGGGTACGATGTTGTCGATGGTTCCGTGGTGCAGCACAATGGGAGACTGCACGTTTGCGATTATATCGATGGTTCGAAACCAGTTATACCCAAGGAAGTTTACAATAGACACCGCGTTTTTCGAAAATTCCTGCATACATTCGCTGAGGGAGGTGAATGGACATTGCAGGATGACCAACGATGGAACTTGGTGCTTCGGGAGGCCTGCAAATAATTGTACCACCACCGCAGCTCCGATGGAACGCCCACATAAAACAATGCGATCAGGCGGCACGTGAAGGTGATCTCTAGCAAAGTAATAGGAACCTAACATGTCGCGATTCATGCTCTCTTCAGATACTTCAGTATGCGTGAGACCATACCCGGAATATTCGAATAGTAATACATCGATTTTGGCTTCCTCGCTAAGGTTCTTCATTTCGTTGTAGATCATGCCGATGTCTACTGCGTTGGGGTGAGCATAAATAAGGAGGTGAGTCGCAGAAGGTTGGGTAAACAAATAGCCATAGGTGTAAGAGCCTGTTTCAGTGTGATCATTACAGCATACACAAGAAATATGTAAAAGGGCATCAGGATGAGTAGACGCTGTATAGGTAGACTTTTCTGGACGGGGAAAAACAATGGACCGTACCAGACCATCCAGAGGGCCAAGCATCTAAAGCTGTAAGACCCAAACAACACGAGGAATAAAAATGTAAAAACTCAACAGCGGCAAAGACAAAGCAAAAGGTAGCTTTTTTTGATCTGGTTCTTTTACTAGCATAATTTGTATAATCGTATAAATTTAAAGCACAGGTAGTGTCACACCAAAAATGTACACCACAAGCAAAATCATTAAACGAGAGTTCTCTTCTCTAGGGAGAGAGTAACACAGAAGATCATTCTAAAAGGAATGAAAAAGAGATAAAGATTATCTAAGCATGTGTTATGCCCTTTGTTTACACACACACACCAAAAAAATGATTGGCAAAGCTAAGAACGGGTGTCGATAAAAGGGCGTGAAATGATAGGACATTTCCATAGAAAACTCAATCAACGGGACATCATGCTTGCATAATCAGTCACCAACGCTAACTATCGTTACAAAGGTGTCTTTGTATAGGTAAAATAAAACTAGCTGATTAAAAAATAAAACAACAAACACACAGACAGTCCTCTATTCGACTTACTAGGATTGCTAGAATCATGCAGCTAAATGCTATGCATCAAGGAAAGAATGTCTTTTCGAAAATCGACATGCGTTACAGGGCACACGTACTCGTCATCGATGCAGCCTTCATGAGCAATAACACGATTAGGGTAACACACAAACGGCTGTTCAGCGCGTATTCTTTTATGGCACACCCCACAAAGAGTCCCTTCGACTAGCCTAACAAATTTGGACTGCTCTTCCAGAAGCACCTGCTGCAGCTTTACCTTCTGTGAGGTTAGCATCGCCAGATGAATTTCCTCTTGGTGCTCCTCCGCGGCTGAACTGTTTAATGCCTGGATCAAAAAAGGTCCCAACTCAGCAAGGGCCATGCTATCTGGCAGCATCGGCAGCGTAGAGAGAGGATTCACACCCCTACTAGTCTGTAAGAGACGCAGTACCTCATCCATGCGTGAAGGTCCCTCAGTGGGTTGTATTAGCCTTTTTAACAAGACCTCAAACACGTCACCACGGGCCTCGGGCTCTACAAATGCGGCATACGCTTTAGCTTCATCAAGGGATCCCGCGCCCTCATTTAAATACATGTCCATAGCACGCTCGTAATCATTCATACGAGAATACACAACCGCCCGCTCAGGGCGGCTGCTCATTTTGATTTCCGGGTTCTCAAAAAATTCAAGGGCTGCCGAAAAATCTACAAATGAGGAATGTTGCAGAAATGAGTCCAGGCGCTCACGTCGTGCCGCAGTAGACATGGTGTCCGTCTCAACAGCCCCACCAAACACCAACAAGGCCAAACTTTGCCAATAAGTTGTGTGAAGCTCGGCAACATCGCTGCTAGTAGGAAAAGATGCATCACTGATCAAAACGTACAGAAAATCGACCGTTGGAAGTACTGGGTGAATAATCCCAGGACAGTTGAGAGTTTCCTTCGATTGAATAATTCGAAGTGTTTCGTGATAAATCGATCTATTGGAGTTTGATAAAAATACACTCAGAGAAAGTGCTGTCGGAATATTACGTAGTAGCCACGGGGCATATGTCCGGATCAGGTCTGATTGCCCGTCAAGCTGGTTCAACGATAATTTACTAATATACTTGGCTAGCGTAATGACAGCTACAGCCTTGTCAACCACCTTCGTCTCAGCTCCAGGGGCACGCCCTAGTTGCTTGGCTAAGACACATGCCGGCTGAAATTCCTCGGTCGGAAGAACCTCATCTTCGATGCAGATGTATCTCAAGGCCGAGAAAACATCCCAAGACAGAGGCTGAAGAAGGCCGATAGCAGGGAGAGAGTGGTCTATACAAAGTCCCTGTAACCACCTGAGGGCTTTAGCATGCTCGCCCAGCCCCTTCCACCACACCGCCTGGGCTACCCACATGCGTCGAGCTGTGAGAAAGGGTTCGCCATCCTCTAAATCGCAATAGTTGGGTTGCTGTAACATATCTATCAATGCTTCCTCCATCCCTAAGAGTGTGTAGGCTTTCAGAAGACACGTGTCTAGACCTTTGGTAATATCAGCGGGTTTGATCTTTGTATTTGCGCTGGATGTAGAGGAACGAGCCTTCCGCACCCACTGCAGTCTCAGTGGTGCCAAGAAACCTATCAAACACCGAAGCGCTTCGGTAGTGCTCCCCTTACGCAGATTCGACTCGAGCTCACCTTCTAACTCCAGACGCACATCGCTGTTGATGACTTGAAGAAAGTGCATTCGCAGTGGTGAGGGCAGTAAGTCTGGGTACAGTAACATCGCATAATGAAGCTCTGTCGTGGACTGCGTCATGGTCTGGAGTGCTTCGGTGTAGTTACCGCATAGAAACTCATGCACGGCATGCTGCATCAGGGCCCTCTGTCGGAGTTGGGCGTCGACCTCGTTATGGCAAAGCTGGCAAAGGATTGTACCAACCGAAAGAAAGTTGTTGTTGCAGCATGCCGCGACTCCACAACTCATCGGCTGCCGCAGAAGGATATGAATGTGTTTGCTGGAGTCCAGGAACCAGATGCAGTCCCGGGTTTCTCGTGGTTCCTCTTCGGGAAGGTTAAACCCTGTCATCGGCAAGTGCTGGTCGAGATCCACCACGTGTCGTTGAAACATATGGATACATGTGACTGGGATAACCTGAAAGGATGCTGTCGGTGGACGCTGTGATGGTGGGAGGTTGGAGACCAATGGTAGATACACCTCCAGCCGCGGATCGCTGCCCTGGTACGCACACAACACGTATGGGTGATCATACACTACAGCTGTAGGTAATGAACCACAGAAAATCGAAGAGTCACCTGGCACTGGGCTGCCGTCCGGCAAGGTGCGCTGAAGCCGCGTATTTTCTATGGTTGCTAAAACTTCCGGTACTGGGTGCATGGATAGAAGAAAAGGTGTTTGACCCTTGCTAGTGGCGTACAGGTGATCCACAATACTATCCATTGCTATGTTGTACATTTGGTATTTCTTTCGGAAACCTACCAACAGGGTGTGCTTGCCTGCCCACACAACTGATTGGGCCTTATCTGTAAAGCTCAGTCCCTCCTTCAAAAAAGAAAGGGTTTTGCTTTTCCCATGGTATTCGTATAAGGACAACTGTTGACGGTGTAAAACAGCTACAGTGAAAACTCCCTTAAACTTCTTTACACTCAACGTCACGATTTCCTTCGACAACTTTAATGATGACAGCTCCGGCGTGAGGTCGTCGGTGCCAATGGGGTTAATTCGGTGCTCAACGGTGGAAGACGGCAGCGCATAAACTACAATCGTGTCTAAACAACATAGAGCCAGTACCACTCCATCATGTAGTAATGGGGTCAATGCGCGAATAGGCTTTTTGTGCTTGTTGGTATGTGTGCTAATAATCTGTGCATCCCATTCCCCACCCTTTTTTTCATGTATCACATAGATAAACAATTTGCCGTCAGAAGTTCCCACTAAAAGGAAGTTACATACAGAGGATATGCACTCAATTTTGAAGTCCATACGATGTTTTAATGCGCAATCCGTATACGCTTGAATATACAATGACATAACCTTTTTCTTTAAGATTATTTGGCACTTTCGAATAATTAGAACTATGTGTTTGTCCAGTTGCACGACCGAACTTTATCAGGAAAAAAAGAAAAATTGAAATAAAAATCTGAGACATTTAGAAGAAATGCGTCCTGGTTTCATGATTTCTTTACAATCATCCTTAACTTGAACTGAATACTATACTGCGTTTCTTTTGTATTTTCGTTTTTGGGCTTTCCCACTGCACTCACCCACCCCCTATTCATCTCTTTGGAGTATTTTTCCAGTTTTCTTTCGATTTGAGACAATTTCAAAAAACAACAACTAAAAAAGATGTAATCTTGACTGGCGTCGCTAACCCGTAACCATAAGCACAATGGAAATACGCTAAGTTAAAAGAGAAAGAAATTCCTAGAACATGTTCTTATTACCAGAACTCAGACAACGGGTCTGCATCGTCCACGGTACGCAAATTTGTCCCATCAAAGAAAAGAAAAGTCCGAGGGAATGGTAAAGCACCACCCTGGCTGCAGACTTTCCTTAAATGCATCTGTGTTGTAGACCTAGGTGCGGAAACTGATTGGATGGGCAATTTCTCGTACACGAGACGTTTCAACGACGAGTGTTGCTCCATAAAAAGGCTAAACTCTTCTACACAGCTTCGCATCGCAGCATTATGCTTTTCAGTTGACTCTTCCGATAGTAAAACGTGAAGTCCTGGTAACATGCACAAACAGCAATTTAAGCTTGTCAGAGGAACGCCAAATCCTATTCCCACCACCTGCACAGTGTCTAGGGTATATACCAAACACGGTTTCCGGGTTGATGGCAGCTCTTCAGCGTTCAACAAGGGCACTCCATCGTTGTGGTCTCCCCCCTGAGGTCGGTTCAGCATCATCGGATCCTGGTGCGTGGTTGGTTCCGCTTCTTCAGAAGAATCACCAGTACAGTAGCCAAGGCAGCAGGTGATGTAGCCTAGTGAATGCTCCAAGTGAAGCGCCTCAATACAACGCTGTAGCGTCACATAGAGCTCATCCTTTGTATCCACAAATAACGTCTGCGCACTTGCCTCTGTATTTGCAGAGTTATTGACAATATTTCGCTTAGCAGCTATTTCCTTATTAGCGAGTTTCATGACTTCCTCGCGGGTGGCCGTAAAGGGAAAATCGACTTCGTTGAAGTGATAAAATTCCACCTCCGATACAGAACCGTCATATTTGCGCACCAACGGCACTGATACAGCACATTGCACCAGTACAGGCGATGTCAACGCCATTTCATTTGCAAATGGAAGGGAGGTATTAAGATCAACATAGGAGACCTCCGAGTCCAACGCAATGGATTGCAAGCGTAGTTTTGTGGCTCTACCGACAACGATGTCAGCTCGACTGTCACTCCCGCTCGAGGGGCTGGAACCACAGGAAGTACTACAGGCACAACAAAATGCTGGCCACTCTTCTACCATGTCATCACTTTCCTTGTCTTGATCAAACAAAGGTGGCCAATACTGCACAAATGAGCCAAATGGAATGAAGAGGCTTGGCGGTCCACACCGAGTCTTTGAATGCAAATAGAGAAGTAGCCACGGCGATGCCATGAGGCTTGCGGTGTTCCCATACACACCGCTGAGCTCAATATCTATAAGAGGGACATTGGCTAACGGCGCTATGGTAATGTAACTCCAATAATTCCTTCCAAGAACAGAATATCTAGTGGTCGCCTCCAGCTCGTTAAGGGATTCAATTTTTAAAAGATCAACCCCGGCGGCACCCTCCGGGCCTCTAATAGATCGGAGTACCTTCAGCGTCTCACGTAGGCAAAAAACACAGCGAATGTACTTGAGCACTTCATCACCAAACACCTGTTCTTCATCTAAATCGATTCCACCGAGAATAACTAGAAAACTCTCGACCAACTCATCGGGCATCTTACCTACCTCAAACAATGTCACAGCGTGGCGTTTAAACGCAGGATCACGGCTGAGGTTCGTCATGAGAAAGCCCGTCAGAGTCACATCGTAAAGCAACGCAATGCGCTTAAGCGGGTGATCGTGGCTGACTATGGGTGATCCATAAGAAGTAAACATCTCAGTAGGAAGCTTGGGGCTAGTAGTTAACCGCACCATCTCCTGAACCTGAGTACCCCATGTTGGATGAATCGATTGCATTTGCTTCCAATTTTTCGCCGGTGCGGCACTGCTCTTTAAAAGAGCCAGCCCTAGACGAACAAGGACATGGGCCGCCGCGCATACATCCTCGACGTCCAGCATGAGCAGCTGTGAGAGAAGGTGGAGTGGGGTTCGATCATCGGAGGTGGACATGACTCGGTAGAGTAACAACTCATGAGGGTCATCACATGTGCGGTTCATCACGAAATCCTCCAATGGAGGCACGACGATTCGATCGTCTGGCGAAACGTTAAAGTCAAAACTAACAAAGCCTTTCCGATACAATCGCAGCAGCGGGGATTTCGGCAACTCACAAGCAAAAATCGTGTCTCTAAGAAATAAGCTTCTCTGAACACCCATGGCTTGAAGCGCTTCCACGGATACGTGCGCCATATTTCTATTGGTAAAAAGAAGCTGGTAGAGTGTGTAATCCTCCACTGCATGCAGCTGACATGCCCTCCGAACCTGGTCCACCGGCTTTTCAACCACCAAGACTCTCCAGAAAGGCTTCACTTCGACTGAAGATGCCAGCATCGTAGGGAGGTGCTCGGTGATATAATTTCGATTGGTGTGCCACCGTAGTTTACTCCGGACCTCCTTGGTAATATTAAGAAATTGATTTCGACCGATTCGCAGGAGCCGGAGGATATCCAAAGCCGTAAAATTTGGGAGTTGATCATAGTTTTGCTCCTTCTTCAGCAGCTCCAAGAGCATATTCAGATAGTACGACAGTTGAGTCTTTTTGGTATATAAAAGAATTCTTTTTTGATGGACATAAGGGTAAAGCTGGAGGTTCTCCCCTCCGTACTCGATCATTTGGGCATAGTATGCAGCCTCGGAAAGACCTGCCCGCACGTATTCTGGAAGTCGATAGTAAGCATAGATGTGCAAAATACTATGTTTGACTACTCGGTCATGATATTCGCTCATGCTATAACGCTGCTGAAGTGAGACACTAAGTAAACTGTAGGGCACGCGAGACGTTAAAGCCTCCTTAAGATCTTCCCCGTCTGTTATACCAGCCATCGCTACTTCCAACAGACTGGGTAGAATTTCTGTTCTCCTTGGGCATCATAAAAAAAAAAACGGGGAAAGGTGAACAAATTATAATATGTGGTTTGAAAACAAAACAAAATACATCGCTTCAGGAGCAAATAATGGCAAACAATAGTAAATAAATGACATTCATAATATACCTTACGATGTGTTGTAGGCATTAAGGAGCACTTGAAGCATCTCACTCAAACTAAATCATTGCGTAAAGTGGCACATTCCTTTTAACAGAATCAGAATTGTCGCCCTTTAGGATAGCATAGCCACAGAATTCAGAGCTCTTCACCTGTTATGGTTACTTTGTACTATGTCGTTAGAACAAAATACAACAACGTGTAAACCTCTAAGTGTGAATAACTTTCGCAAGTTCTATCCATTGGTTCAATATATCGGCTTTATCTGCTCGCTTATCGTGTTCCCATAGTACGTAGCTAGACGCAATCTGTCGTACTGGAACGTGTTCCGACAAGACAGGGCTACATGCGTTGTCAGACGCTACGTCTAGCGCAAGTTGCTGAAAGGTTTCAGTCCGACTGATCTTATTCAGCTTTCCTTCTAGGTAAAGCTCATCTGCGCTATGCAGAGGTAAGTCCACCAAAGCTATGTTATAATTCTCTGGCAATACAATGTTCATGCCTACAAGGGTTCGGCCACGGAAAGCGTTACGTAGCTCCCCTGACTGCGCATCAACAGTTGTGAACGTGTCAAAGTTTTCGCGTACATCAGTTGTGCCGTGGAAGTTGACTTTGATGGGAAGTGATTGGAAAGTGAATTCGTTTTCTACCTGTTCTTTAGCCATATCTTAAACTCTATGGTAAAGCTTACTGACAAAGGGGAAAAATAAAGTATTAAGATGGGTGGAGGAAAAAAAAATAACACATTCCTGTACAAGTACTTTTAACTATGAATGTAATGGTATCTCCATAAGGAAACCACACAGCTGCAAGGTACAGATTCCTGGATTATTAAAACACCTTATCTCTTATGGATTCTGAGGGGTGGACACACTAGCTTAAATTCACATAATTTGGGTAAATCCAAAACAAAATTCATCGCTAGATTGCAAGATATTTCCACATTTACTCTCCTAGCTCAGCTACATCATAGGACAATGCTAGCTTCTCAATATAGTCAAACAGCAGTAGTGTACCTTGGCCACCATCATCATCACTCTTCACGTCGCCGAGCTGCATTAAACAGTTAAGCGCGTTTTGAAGTTTCATTTGTTTAATGGGAAGAGCCCCTGGTATCAGACTTTCCCAGAACAAGAGCTCTTCCAAGCAGTTGTTCAGGCACTCTCGCGGTTTATTTAACACAGAATAAAGGAAACTAAGTGTGTTTCTGATCTCATGGCAGAGATAGTGAAAGGAGAACAAATCCTTTTTGACTTCACACAATAACTTGAGTAAATCAGTCACATGATCCACGGTCACTTCCTCGATGGGAAGGCCACGTACTTCCGTGCAGGTCGCCAGTACCTTACCACGGAAATACTCAGTTGGGTTGTTGTGTCGTGCCGTCGGCAGCTCCATACACATTGCCCTTTCAAAGGGGTCTGTATCACTATCGACGCAACGCAGGCATTGGCAAGTAAAAAAGTAGCGCCCGCCGAGTGTATCTTGTCGAAGATTGCGAGGCCAATAGAGTTGAGGGATATAGCTGATAGTCAGCTCCTCGCCTTTAGATATGGTGCGTGTCGTCACGATCTCTGGGCGACCTCGCCTGGTATCCAGCGCACAATTGGGTGCACAAGAGTGGTTAAAAAAAGATGTCAGGTCGGCGCAATAGAGCGCTTGGCCGATACCAAGGCCAGAAGGATCCACAACTTCGAGAGCATTGCACCGCAAAATACCGATAACATTGGCTACAAGCGTCGCGTCCTCATCGGGCATTAAACTGTGTACTAAGGATACGATGGGGTGGAACGCCTGGGATACCTCCTGAACGTGGGATTCGAGCTGTAGGACTCGGTCATGACCCTCACGGCGCATCTTTATGCTAGAAATGGTGGTAATGCAGTGAAACGCCAGCTCATAAAACTCCTCTGGCGCATCCAGTTGGTGAGCAGTGATCTTGGTAGAGGCTTCCTTTAACTTACTCAAGCGATCACACTCCCAACGCTCATGGCATTCCTTGTGGGCAACCGCACACTCTTGGCAACAGTAGTACGCCATCTGACATTTTTCACAACGAGATAGCTCACTGGCAGTATCGGTCTGCTTGTGAAACTCATTGTCCCCTTCGCACTCCTCCTGGAATCGTTCTACAGACTGCCCGCAGAGGAGACAGCAACCCTTTCCCTCCGTTTCCTCGTACGGCGCAGCTGAGAAGGCATCCAGAGTGTCGTTCACTATTCTAAAAGGCAATATGCTTTCGCCAGCGACTACACCCCTGCCGCATGCATTCCCAAAGTCCACGAGTTTTACTATCTGAGTGACATCTGGAAGATTGGTACCTGTCATCTCGCGTTCACGCCCTCTCTTGGCGTATTGCTGCTGCAATTGGTCCACAGCAGCCGACAGGTACGGCCGCGCCGACTCCTCTAGCGCGGGAAGATGCAGGACAGAGCGACAAAGAAACAAGAACGGTGTCGCACCTGCTGGTAAGGATGCACTGGATGAACGCTGGTATTCGTGAAGCTCTGGGTGCTCGAGCAAACAGCGCCCAATGAAGGCGTTGGCCTTAGCCAGTACCGGGTTGATACGAAGGACGCGATTGGCCAATGTGAGGCACTCCTCAATCTGGTCTGTCTTGTACAAGCACGTTAACGCGTTGCCGGCGCACTTTGCATGCTCCTCCAAGGTGCACCCCGATCCGCCGTCGTCTCCCGCAGTGAAGGATGGCTTCTGCTGCAGCTCTGTCTTGTAGTGCTTATCGTAAAGATCAAGAGCCTTGAGATAAAAAGTGATGGCTTCATCTGGATTTGAGTTGAAAAGACTGTTCCCTTGTATGCGTAACGCCTCCATTTAGGGTACAGGTTTTGACTCTCAAGCGCACGTTACAGTAAATTTTATATTTGTCCTACCGTTTTTTCCTGGTATCGGTGTTATAATTGTCTTATCTAGAGGTAAAAGCGCCTCGTATATACGTAGCATACACCTCTCTGTCACCTTACCTTATTCATTGTTTTATAGATAATTTCGCAATGATACATATATATATATATATATATATAGATATATAGATAGGTAGAGAGAAATTAAAAAGGATAAAATAAAAAATATTCTCGTATATTTTGGTGCAATTTACTGAGTGAATTTAAACAACTAGTGCTGACAAATAGAATCCAGTAAAAAAAAAAATGCCGTCGACATCTTGTAGGCCTTTTTTACAGCATCATCTTTGACTTCTATAGTACGGTGGTTAAAAATGTAGAGATATGTCTTTTTTCACTTGAATAAGACTTTAGTTTATTAGCTTTTTTCACGATCGTTGCAGAAGCTGTATTGTCTCAAGTCCCACACTGTACTCAAGATCTATGCCTTTTATTCATATTTCGACCTCGATAATACTTTTTCATAGTGGCAAACAGTTCCATAGGCATAATTTGATCCAGCTCTTCAGTCGTCTGTGCTCTCAACGCACGCTCTACACTATTAACGTCCAGCTCGATAGCTGATCTCTCCGCGATGTGTGTATGCAGTCTTGGTACTTCAAAGACCTCCTTACCCACAGCTATATCAGAGGCCTTCAAGTGAGCTGGTGGAACATACCACTGAGGGCCAATCAACTGTGAGCTTTGAAGACCCTCAATCGCTTCTAAAATGAGAAGAGCATTGATGTGGAGCACATCAAAGGCTACTCGTGGATCGCTGTTGAAGAGAGACGTCATGAAATCATGCTTTGTGGTCAATATCGGTACGCATTCCTCACTGGCCATGAGACTTTTGGTCATTTTGCTCGACTGAAAGTCTTCATATACAATGCTCTCGTCATCGGAAATATCCTCTATAGGAACTGGCACCAAAGGGTCATCAACCTCTTTGTACGATACCTCATGTTTATCAACAGTTGTCTTTGTTTCACACCCAGAGCTATCTGAGGTGGGATTTGATGGCATCATATAGCATATACTTCTTCCACAGCGAAAATGAGATGACTAGTGAAGGTTCACAATTCGAAAAAAAAAATCCTGCTTTACATATATATATATTGTGTATGTATGTATGAGTAAATTGGTAAAAAATATATAAAGTAAGGTAAAGTGAATCTTTAAAAAAGTTCAAGAATAATGAATGAAACTCTTCGTTTTGGGTTCAAAAGAAAAAAGATGCAAGTCAATCTCTGTGCATTTGACCTACACATGCCCCCCCTCGAGAATTTACTTCACTTCATACCTATTATGCTATTCTGTATTTTTCATGAGAGCACTAATAATATCAAATCTTTTGTGTTGAAATCATACTGAGTTGTTATTAATCAGTAAAACGCTTGTACTAAAGTTCAACAAGAAATCAAACTGCACGAATCATAGACACAAGGTTTCTTAGAACGTTCTCCCAAACCTGTTCGTAATCTCAAACCGCGTTGCAGTCGTCATCTTTTTTCTCCAAGTCCCTATTCCACGCGTACAACTCACGCCGGAGGCTCTCTCTGTGCTTACGCAGTTGCCCCTCCGTCAGTTTCAGTCGACGCTGCACTCCTGCCGTCGCACACCGCCCCTCCCTCGGGCTTGATCCACCGAATAACTTTTGGTACTTTACCTTTATGGGAGATACGCGTTTAATGGGGGTTATGTCGCGGCTGTGGGTTGTTTCGGGGGTCCGTGTGGTTGCACTTCGAAACGTACGCTTCCGAATGAGTCCATTAGCTTCCATAACTCTCATATCATCAGAATTCTTCAAATGGAATAAAGTCTTCTCTTTGAGTCGGCTTAAAGTCCTTCCTTTCGGTAACAATGTAAAAGAAAGCGATGTGTTACGGGAAGGGCACATGTTCGAGCGTCTTGGCTTTTCAGTCGTGGTTGGCATGGGGGTATGAATATTGAGCGTGGAGTAGTTAATCACCTCCCCTTGGACAAGTTTTGGTGAGGAGGACAATACATTCAGCTCGTCCGTTGTATCCGATGAAACGCAATTCGGGCACCCCAAAGATGATAACTCGTTCTTTTCAGAGCATTTCCGCAGCCGTGGGGTAGAAGCATTTGACCCTTGCAAAACTAGCCCGGTGTCATCCAAAATCGAAATAGGCTCTAGCCCGGTGTAGGAAGAGTTGCAGCTGAAGAAATTGCCGTCGGAGCACCTCGGCAGATCCGGCAGAGGTGTCTCGGTGCCATGTTCGTCGCCTACGTCGTGTGTATGTGTGAGCTCACCGCAACAGGACCCCGGAACGGTTTGCACCGTCAGTTGCTCGGGAAGATGGGAAACGCTGAGTTTCGCGCGGGCGGTAGTGATCACCTTGATGCGATCCCCCCAGGACAAGACCCCGTCCGTTCTCTCCGGAGGTGGTGGGGTGTGACCTATGAGCCCATCCTTTGACCGTAAGCCCGTTCCCGCCAACGAGCGCACGCTGAGGGGGGGGCACCGCGCGGAGACCCCAGCTCTGTCCAGAACGGGAAGGCCTCGCCCGGCCTGCGCACGCCCACTACCTCCTGGAGACGCCATCATGGACTCCACCAGCGGAGTGCCCACAAAGGCTAGATGAGAGCGCGGTGAGTTCCCGATGCCGATGCGAATCCGGCTGTAGTCCACCTGAGACTTGGGAATGTACATAGAATTCAACTTTGCCTGTGGCTGCTGAAGTCGTGGAGTGGGTGTTTTATACATTGAAGAACGAAGGGAACTTTCATGGACCTCAAGGAGGTGGAGAAGATTCCTCCCAGAGATGCTAATATCCATGGTTCTTGGCCACAAGGTATGTATTTTATCAAATTCAGATGACTTTCCGTGATTTCCTCGTGTGCCAGGCTGCTGAATAACGAGATAGTAACCGAAGCCAATGTATAATTCTGATAGTTGTTTTTCAAAAGTCACCTTTGTTGATATAAATAAGAATATATAATTACTATGTTGGGGGGGGAAAAAAAGCTAACTAGCCTGTGAGTATCATAGTGTTAAATATAAAGAAAAATAATTAGGAATAAAGAAGATTCAAATCAACGCCAGTGGTGAACATCATTCTAGTCTTGTTTAAAGCTTTTTGAACCGCTTGAAAAGAACCCAAAGTATAAACCCAGGTTACTGTTAATTGGGATGCACTCAGTCGACAATTCAGATATTATTTCATCTACCTTTATGCATGTGCTATATTACTTAATTGGTTAACAAGTTATTATTTACTACTATATAGGCAAAAAAATGATGACACTTTTTTAAAAACTTAGCAACACATGGTCTTCATGTAAGCTCCTGCGCTCCCCTCCCTCCCTTTTTCCGATAGGCATGTCGTTGTGACTAGCTAAAGAACTTTATAAAAGATAAAAGGCATGTGAAAGTGAGAGTTAAAAAGAAGCAATACACTGGGGAGGAAAAAAGCACCGCTGTGTTCATAAAAGAGCACTCTACTGTTTACCGAAGACGAAACTCCTGATCGTAATGGCAGGACTGTAACGCCCCATCAAAATCTAAGTGAAGTGATATATCGAGATCACGCGGGTTACCTGCGTTCGGCGTGCACGAGATTTTGAAGACTGCTTGCTCTCCCTTCTCCATATTAAGCGAGTGATACAAAAAGAGAACAGTCTGCTGCCAGTGGGTTGGCGGCAGTAGTGGTGAAGTGTCCAATACTACAAGTTCATGACCTGCTCCAAAGGGAGTATCGAAATGCACGGAGATGGCATCCAAACTTCCCGTGCACTGTGCCACTAAGGTAAACTCCCTCACAAAGGACAAATCCGCCTCCTTGGCGGTGTTTATATAAAACGAAAAGAATGGAACGATGTCCGTTATTATTTGATCCTGCTCGACGGTATCCACAAAGGGCTCAATATAGCTCAACCGCTTGAAATATGAAAAGTCGAGTCCTAGGACGTTATCCCACACATTGAACTTGGTCTCTTTGTACTGTGGATCCTTGATTCCACAGGCGTACATATTTGCACGATCCGGGAGTATCTTCACATCTGGTGTGCCCCACCTGTCACGAGCATAAAGAACTGTATTAAGCATAGATTCATACAACAATAAATAACCCATCCATTCGCTGATAATGATGTCAATTTTTTCATCCAGCTCCAGATCCTCAATCTTTCCATGAATAATGGTGATAACATCGGCGTAGCCATTATCTTTCACGATTTCCTGAGCCTGCACAGCTACACTACTACAATCGACACCAATTACTTTACGAGCACCAGCGCGAGCCGCGAACAGGGATAAAATACCCGTTCCGCAGCCGACGTCCAACACAACCTTGTCCTTGAACATGTATGCATTCTTCCATATGGCATCCCGGTAACTGGTCGTACGATGGTAGTCCTTGAGCATCTCCATGTGAATCCCGTAGTGGCTGTAGGAATCGAAATAGTAATCCTTTGTGAAGCCCTTCTCTTCACTGACATCGTTGTCATGCACAGCAATTGCGTTAGAATCGGCGTTCGACATAGTAAAACAGAACAGATGTAGTTATGAATGTGGGTAAGCGTGTCAGAGCTGAAAATTTAATCAAAACAAATGTGAAGAAACTTGATAGGGTTCGCTGTGGTAAAAAATTGATGGGGGAAAAAGGCCAATTTCATTTGATTTCTGGGTACACATATTGTGACTAGTTGAATAAAGAAACTTAATAGATCATGATAATTGTAATTAAGCATCTTCGAAGAACACAACGGAATGTCTGTAACGAACATATATATATATATATAAAGATTAACATCTATCTATATATTTAATGAGACTGCACAATAAACTCTCGGTAGGCGATACCGACACCCAGAAGACTAGATCTTAAACGTAAACAGAAGGGTGGGCCTAAAGAAGAAGCAATAAGGCCCCTTTCCACAAGTCTTCAAACTTAGACTTGATCTGTCGCTACGACAATGCTGTCTCCCGAAATAGCTGTCATTCGTCCAAGTATCAACTTGGCCTTATCCTTAGTGTCTTCACTGGGAAAATAGTGATCCGCCAACCACACCTGAAGTGTGTCGGCTACAAACCCAAAAACAGAAAAGTTATGTTCCGAATTATGGCACATCACCTTTGCAGCACGTGTAAAGGCCTGAACCATTCGCAGAATATAGTAATCGAATGCGCACTGGTAGTACAAACCCTTCTTATCCTCAACCTCCAACACTCGCGAGGTGCTATTGGGGCACATTGCAGTACGAAAATTTGGCAGTTGTGACTCACGATTATGATGTTGTGCGAACAACATTGCTGCAATAAAAAACACAGTCCCGGCTGCTTCCATGTAGAAGCTAACCTCCTGATATCCCTTATCCACCTCCACGCCCACAGAACCACCATTATCACCGCCTTCCCGAGACCCCCCTGCGATCAGAAACTCGTCGTTTCCTGACACCGCCGAGACACCCCCGTCGGGCCTGGTACGCTTGAGAAGTTGATTAGTTCCTTTCTCATCCCCGCAAAACTCAACACCAGTGGACAGGAAAAAAGCCTGAAGGCTCCTCCGCGGAGGGTAATGCATCCGCCCGAACCCCAAAAGCTCCTCCACGAGGTATGTTATGACAAGAAGAAAGCACTCCGTCATCGGCAAGCGGCTTAGCATGTAGTCGACAACACACTCAACATTCGCCTTTTGAGGCTTCTCCGCGGCGTGGAGGACGTCCATCATAAATCGCCGCAGCTCCTGCGGTGAGGAGAAAATGAGCGGGGCCTGAGGGCTGAGTCGCGGTGATGTAGGGGATTGTGAGCAGGGGCCAGAATCCCCGCGTGTTGAAGGATAAAGACGAATAAAGGGCCACAGGACGCGGTTATGAAGGGCACACCACACCGTGCGCACGTCGTAGGACAAGAATCCATCCGTCCCTTCTGCCATGGTCGACTTTCGATGGCGAGGCAAACTTCTTTTCTCGCTCACAGCACCCAACGTGTCTTTCCGCTGCGCCTCGTCAAGTAGTCTCAAATAAAGCCGCCTCTCTATGGTATCCTCCTGTGAGTAAAGAAACCGGTAATTAGGGCTGGTCGCGTGTGAGATGCAAAAGTCCGCGAAGGTGGGGCTGGTGCGCTGCAAATAAACGACATTGGTTACTAACTCAGAGGAGGCTCCATCAAATGACATCGTGTAGGTTGATGCAACGTTAAGTTTACTTCGCACGTAAATTGGTTAATACGTTGCACAAGTGTACGCACACATAAACTTGGCGTCTGTTTAAATAAATAGAAAATTGGGTAGGCAAATAACAGGTTGTGAGAAATACTAAGCAATTCAGAACTGATCAACTAATCCAATGCGGTGATCCCAATAGCGTCTTATCGAGATTGTCAAATAAGGATTAAAACCACTTCTTCTGTGCAAAAATACACATAAAGGCATTGCATGTGTATACACATACGTATATAAAAGATAAAAGAAAACAGGTTCAATGATTGGAAATCAAGCTTGGCCCTTTCCGATAAGAAGTCTATTGTTTAATTGAATATCAATTGCTTTCAAATTGAAAAAAAAAATGAAAATTACATAAGTCTAAACCCAAACAGCTACTGCCCTTTCTCTTGACTCATCCCAAATAAAGTTTGCCGCCGACTCCCATTCTAGAAGCCTCTCTTGCTCGCCTATGTTTTACTTCCCTCAGCCAAAAATTCGTAAAAAAAAATGAGCATATTTTTTTCTAACATTTAATGTCCTTCGCAGGATGAATGAGTCGTCGCGGTATTCAATAAAGAAGAGCTTTGAGCCTCTTTGAAAACGATTAAACCACGAGATAAATAGAAAGACCGAAACAAATCGCACGTAACGCGCATTTCTGTGAATTCCTAAAGCCATTGTTGCTGGTCTGGACAAACATAATAGGCAACCAACAGGTCGTTGTCAGAAGGATCCGTGTATTCAATCGCTCAAAGACATTTTAATAGAGTTTAGCCTCTAGCTCTCTAACATGAGCATGGTAAACGTTGAACAAGGCACACTCCTTCCCTCTTTTCTGACTCTTCAGCTGCTATTTCATGTGATAAATGGGTACATTCGAGTGTATCTACCCCGAATGCGGAGCCTTGTCCAGGGACAGCAACGGGGGGATGTATTGGATCGCTCTTCACCGTCGCCGCTGTAGCTCTGTTCAAGTGATGATAATGGTGAAGAAGGTCGGGGTGAAACTTTGAGGGTGGAGAATGTCCCTCACCCCAGATGTTCCTCCTTCACAACGGCCTCGAGAGCTGCAAACCTGGCCAACTGTTCCAGTGCTGAGGGATTGCAAGATAGCGTTATTGTTGTGCTGAGAAAAAGGTTCATTGAATTGAAATTGCTAAATAAAGCCATGAAAAATGCGAGAAAAAAACAGCACCTGGGCTTTCATGAGGGAAAATTGTCGTGTTTCACATGTCGCTGTGAGAAAAGACAGAAATTCTGACTTATCATAGCTATTAGGATCGGAGAATCAACAATGACAAAAAAACAAAGGAAAAAGAATGTTCGATTTTTTCAATGGGAAAAAGGTAAAGGTGCTAATCTGAAAAGTAGTCTTATTGAAACCATTGCTGTGTTGGTGGTATAGTAAGTATATTACAACGAAATTAAGGCAGGCTGGAGTGTCGACCCGGTTAAATCTGCTAACTTTGAGTAAAAATAACAGACAAAAAAGGGTGAGATAGATAAGATAGTGCCAAAATGATAACACCAAGATAAAACTACTTACTGAACAGTGGAAGTCATAATTTCTATAATATGCAAAATACATTATGCATTGATCATTTTATTTGTAGTAAATAGAATACTTGCCTTAGTGTATATGCATGTGCAAGGGTCTGAATTGTTACAAATATCTTCAGCACTTTTAAATAAGAAAAGATTGAGGCTAAATCACAAAAAAAAAAGATAAAAAAGGAACCCGTCCTATGGTAGCCAACACTGCAGTAATATGATAACCCAATCACTTGTGGCAACCACAGTATGTAAATATATAAAATTAAAAAACGAAAAACTGCATTTCACTCAACACCCTTAGGACACAGTCCCTTTGATTTTTCTATCATTAAAGCTATGGAAAAAAAAAGAATTATATCCACATATAAGATGACAACACATGATTGTCAAATAATTCAAAATTATATCCAGAGTAATTGTATATCAGGCATCCCATACCGTTGATGTGCACACTTACGATGCAAAAATAAAAATAATCCCCTTCGTGTGAAAACCGTTCACACATGCAGGGTAATCAAGTGGGAAAGGGGTAAAATGACATCTAAACGACGGGAAAAAAAATGACTCCTTGTATCCTTACATGAAAGAACAAAAGGTAATCTAAAACTATTTCGATTTTTTAAAATTTTGGTTATATTTTTTTCTATATTCTACAAAGGAAAGCTTTTGAGAAGGAGTTATAGACACTATTACTCAGAGAATCAGTGTCTATACACTAGGGCCGCCTGTAGTGTATAAAAAATCGAAATTCCTACGCACCCTGGTCTAGCCTCTTGCGCAAGAACTGCTCAATGTGTGTACGGCAGTACGCTATCCACACACAATTCACTGTCATAGCGCTAAAACTTTCCAACATATTTGGCGACAGGTGATTCCCGGCCTCGCCTTCACGCACCATCGCCGCGGCCTCTTCCTCCTCGCTTAGCAATAATGCCTGAAATAACGAAGACTCAGAAATATTCGAATTTTGGCGTGTGAAGTAGGCATAAAGCAGCGCGATGACATGACTATTGCTGCATAACTTAGCAGCATGAAAAGCCAAATTATCCATTACAAGTGGCTTCAAGGTGAGGTTGCAATGGCTTAAAAGATAAACCAAAAAGCGCGTATTCCATAATAAAGACCGCATCACCATATCTGGTACATTGCTGAATATGTTGAGTACGTTGGCCATGAAATCAAAAGCACGATCATCAACCATCGAAAAAAATGCTGGTAGTACAACCGGAAGGACTTCCATGATTTTATGGCTTTCGATCACAATTTTCGGAATGCAAAGGTGAATATTTTGCTCGAGAAACACAGTATCGAGCGAGCAAAATCCGGCTACAATGCCAGCGATACAACCCCACCATCGAGAAGGATCATACAAAGCCAAGTAAAAAAGCGCGATTGTGGCGGATTGAACGTGGGCACTGTTCATGAAATTCACGCCTCGACGACCTCGTGCACTGGCAGGCGAAATGGAGGACATGGATTCAACAAGGCTCCGCTGCCCAAGCGCAGCTAGTACGCTAAATCCCATTTCAGCCGCCTCCTCCATCAAAAACGAACTCCCACAGAGAACCAAGACACCTAGCACCTTGTTGACAGTGGTGCAGGAAATATGGCGGTGCACTTTAAAGTTCAAAGGGTCCTCTGTCGCGAAGAAAGTAATCAAGTTCTGCCGTAGCAAGGGGTCATACAAGCCCTTGACAAAATTATACACGGCGTGGCTACATTCCTGGCCTTGAACCAAGTACACAAACTTCTCCAGATAAGTTGTGATAAAGTCCCAGAGGAAGGAACTCATTTTTTTTGTGGACGTCGTGAGGATACTCAGCCACTCCAGCATCAGAGTACAGCGGTCGCCATCAGGTTCGTAGGGGAAACGTCCAACAAGGACGTTCCGTAGGGAGGAAAGGGTCGCCGTGATGGTAATATGGTCCTCACTATGCAGAAAAGCTGCAAACTTAAAAATTTGGCGCCACAATGCTAAGTCGTGGTCGCACCGAAGCAGGCCGGTAGCACCATAATTAAAGTAGCAAAGCTCATAGTCACCGAAGTCATTCGTTGGGGACACGGTGTCTGTGCGGCCCTTGCCGTCGTGGACCCTGTACTCCGCCTCGTTGTGATCGACGAAGAGCTCGTACACGGTACGAGCCCCGCGAGAAGCCTCTAAGACGACCATCGGAAACACAAAAGGCTCGCCGTTGGGCTGTCGTCGTAAAAGCCGCGTGGGGTCCCACACAAAGGTGGTGTCCGTCGGCAGTGCGGAGAGACCGCCCAACGCGCCGCGGCGGACCCACTCCGGCAGCACCCCCCGCCGGAGGGTCGGCATGGCGTACTGCGATAGCCGATACGCCCCCGGGCCGCCGCGGCGGATCAGCAGGTAGGGGTGGCCCGCCCTCTCCGCCAGGCGCAGCACGCGCTCGACCACGACAGCGCTGTGCCCTCCCCCTCCCTCCAGGAGGGCCCGTTTGAACCTGCCGAGGTGGGCCCGGGCATCGGCGTGGAGGAGCCGCGCGGTGGCCCGCTTGAGGGCGGGCAGCCCAAGAAGGGCGAAGAGCAACCGCAGCAGCGCCGCGCCTTTGCCGTAGGAAATCGCGTCGAAGCCGGTCGAGACGCGCCGAGGCCGCCCATCGCAATACCGCAGCGGGTGCGTCCGAGCCGCCACGGCGTCCTCGTCCAGTGAGGCGTTCGCGGCGGTACCGATGAAATCATCCCAGATGCCCCAATCCGGAAAGCACGCATCTACAAAGTGATACTCCAGAAGCCGACATAAGCCCTCCTTCAGCCAGATATCGTTCCACCACTCGATGGAGAGCCGGTTGCCGAACCAGTGGTGACAGACTTCATGCCCCACCAGGCGGGCAATGCGCTGTCGCCGCTCAACTGGCGTGGAGTCTTTCACCAGTAGGTACTCCATGAGGATGTTGATCATGCCCCAGTTTTCCATCCCAAGTGACTGAAAACACTCCAAAGCGACGACGTCTAGCTTTTTGAGCCCGATCCTGAAGTTGAAAAAGGAATTAAAAAAATTTACCGCCATGTTGAGAAGATCCAGCGCGTATCGGGCAGAACTCGCCGGCTGGTTGCATGGGAATACGACGCGATAGCGAATACCAAGTCTCGAGCAGTACCACTCTAAGATCGAGAACTTGCCCACATTGAACCCTAAGATACACGTATGCATTGGCGGTGTTTCTTCAAACACAAAGCGACGGAAGTAGACGCTCGTTTGAACATCCATCAGTACGGAAGAAGATGAAGTACGCTGGACACAATCATTTCGTCTGCTTAATTCTCCTCCACTGGGGTGACATTTTTCTACACAACCAGTGCTGCTCAGGAGATGGGAAGCTCCCTTAGAACGGCTTGGCGCTAGCCATGCACATATGTTTTCCTCATGCACAAGCGGCATGTTCGATACCACCATGAAGCTCGGGTCTACAACAACCGACAGCTTGAAGACAGCTTTAAAAGAAGGCTCATCGAAACACGGAAATAATTTGCGGGCGTTGGTGGGCTCGAGATGCGTCGCGAGGAAGCCTGGGTCCGAGCTGCTCGAATAAAACAACCCCTGTGAGACCAGCCCGGTGTGGATGAGGCCTTCGTAATAATCAATGTGAAAAGCAAAGCGCTGACCAGTCTCCTGTGGTAGAACTTCGTCAAAGTAAAACTCAAGGGTCTCACTGGTCTCAGGGTGGTCAACAACGCTGATACACTGCAGGATTTTGTCATCTTCCAGGACAATGAAGACATCCTCCCGCCGAATCACCAACTCGATGCCATGCAGCACCAAACGGCACTGACGTAACTCCCGGGGGGAGGACTCCTTCCTTCCCGCCTCAGAGGCGCAGGCGCCGCACACTTCAATCTGGATGATTTCATTTGCCCTAAAACGATGGTTCGATACGTCGGGTTGGAACTCTAATTCATATCGAACAGGCACGAAATGATTCGAGAGGCGATAAAAATTACTATTTAGATCCTCAGATGGCAAAATTCCGACCTTACTTGAAACGTCCGGTAGTCTACTATCATCTGTACGCACTGATATGGTTAATTTATCCACCACAACTCCCGCCATGATATGATCCACTGCCTATCACACTGTTAAGACACCTACAGCCTTTTTCAATAAAACCACACTACGGCAGTTGGGAACCTTAAAATGCTTTTGTCGTCCTCTCACCTCTCACGCTGAATACGGCACTGAGAAACCTCGTGGGTCGCTTAATTGGAGGCAGCAGACACAAAAGTGTCTATTGCGTAGACCTATTAAAATGTAACGATGCTACTAGAAAAGACAGTATGTGTTGGGTTGCACACCTTCCCCCGCACTTTTCTTTCCTTTTCAAGAAAACCAAACAGCGACAACAAGGTACGAAGTTCAAAAGCAAAAATTGAGGTGCATTATGTGTAGATTTTCTTTTTAATTATCATTATTATTTTCCTTTTAACATCCGAGAGCCTACAGAAAGTTTTTTTTAACTTTTTGCATATTGAAAAGGTAGAAGTATGGTTTGCGGAGGAAGGCCTCATTATCATTCAAAGCAACCCATTCTGCAAGAAAAATAACCCACACAGGACTCGACTGTGTAGCCTTCTACTGTTTAGTCATGGACATCGTTTCGCTTCTTGGATGAGTCTGACCTGAAGGTCTTCCATAGAAAGCTTGGTTTAGGAAGGTAACAACACCTCATCGCCGCTTAGAGGTAGCTCGAAGATCTCATCTTCCGCTGCACCGGGCCGCAGATACGCAAGGACGTCGCGGAGGACTTTCATCTTGTACGTGAATTTCGTAGCCAACTCCTCCAAGGCACGCGTGCTAACGATCGCCCGGACGTTTTGCATCTTGCACTCGGGACAGAACAACAACGTATCATGATGGGCATGTCCCACGGCGCTTTCCCACATTTGCGCAGACTCGCCTTTGTTTCGCGAGTGCTCGAACAGGCAGGCGGCGCAGAAGGTGTGGCCGCATGGGACGCAGGTCTGAGGGGTCTTCAGAAGCTTCAAGCAGCTCAAGCACGAGTAGGCGCTTTCGCTAGCCTCCTCAACGGACAGAAGGCACCCCACCGCGCTGAACACAACGCGAGACCTCTTATAGCTCATGGCCTGCTCCTCCTTGAGGCTGGACTGCAAAGTCGCGGATTCCGCTTGAAGCTGTGTTTCGGTCATCTTTGCCGTATCAAGTTGTTTAAGGAGCTCATCCAGCTCACATAGGTGTTGTTGATCACGGGTTTGAATAACTTCTCGCAGTTTAGCCGTCTCCTCCCTGTGAGCCATCTCCATGTCATGTTTGTAGGCCAATTCCAGGCACTGCGATTGAGTTTGCCAGGAGTCCTGAAGCACCGACAATCGAGGTTGATATTCCTCGAAGTAAAGAGCACAGCGTTGCTGCTCCTCGGTGTACTTTAGCGCGTCAAATGCACCCTGTTGTGAAAGGTGAATACAACTAATTTTGTTTACACCCAGCTCAAGTAGAGCGGCGCCGACAGTACGCTCTTCACTTAGGCGGTGTGCATTCTCCTCAGTCATGATCGTCATTCTCGCTGCCGATTCAGTATCTATGATCTCGACCATTTTCTGCCATTTAGTGTGTGCCTCTTCTTGTGCATGAGTATTAGCGTTCTCTAGGTTGTCCATCTGAGCCTTGAGATCCCGCACTTCTTGCTCGAAATCCCCCTTTGTTTCGTTCAAAAGCTGCTTCTTTTGTTGAAAGGACTCTCGAAGTTGATCTCTCAAAAACTGCACCTCTCGGGAATGTTGAATCTTTATATGATCCTCCTCCTGTTTTTTTTGGGCCAGTGTAGAAGAATGGGCTGCCTGAATAGTCATTATTCGTTTTTCGTAATCGCGGGTTGCTTTAATTAAGCAACTCTCAACTTCGTGTACCTTCGCAGACATCTCGCAGACCTTTTGTACTTGTTTTTGTGCGTATGTCTGACTATCAAATGCGATGTCAAGAAGACACTGACTCTTGTTATCGAAATATGAATCTAGTAATGTGAGGTGCATGCCGCACACATGCTGTAGTGCGGCCTCACACCCCAAAGTTAATTCATGGGTGAAGCTTTGTAAGCGATCGCACTCATCCTGAAATATTTTCTCTTTCGCTGCTGAGTTTTCCTTCTCCTTTGCTAAAGTGCAAGACACGATATCCAGCAAGTCCTGCGCAGACCTCTGCAATACGCTTCGGCTGTAGATTTCGAGTTCTTCCAACCGCTGACGAGAGCTCTTTTCAGCGGGTTCAATTGTTGACTGAACAACAAAGGAGAAGTTCAACTCCGACATCGCCTTACGCGCGGCGGATAATACATTTTGTAAAGTTGGTGAAATTATCTTGAGTCTAGAAAACAAATCCTGTGCAGCTTCCTCTACCCAAGGCTCCCAGGTTTCTACATCAATGACTGCACCCACAGGATCCTCATTTTGACCAACAACGCAGGGGGTTTCCTTTGCGTTACCACCTGCGCTTGAAGGCATCCCTGAGGTCCCTACCACAGGAGACGTCTTGATTGAACAAATGCAGTCTTCGACGGCTGCCATGACGCGTCTAACGAACATCTCCACAGTGTTTCGCTGCCTTTTGCGATCCTCCAGTATCTGAAGCGAGGCTCTCTGGCGGATGTCCGCAATGTCGGCATTGGCCTGCTTATATATCCACTCCAACTCCTCGATTCTTTCGGATAGGATCATATTGTCCTTTGATAAACCCTCACACGTTTCTTTCAGGATAATCTGCTGCATCTCTGCGGCAGACAGCACCACAATATGATCCCGTCTTTCATCTTCGGCCTTGACAAGAAGCTCCTTGTGCGTTTGCATGAAATTACCCAGCTCTAGTTGTACCGCCAGCAGCACCTTCTCCCTGGCGGCCGCATCCTTTGATGCCGCCCTCAGCCCTTGTAGCTCGGACGTAATCCGCGCGAGCTCCTCCTGGTCCTGCCGGTACATCCCGCTCAAGCGCTCAAAATTCCGTTGAATCGCGTTGACGCTATCCGTCCGAGCGTTCAGCTCACGCTGCAGCTCACCAATTACTCGAAGAAGCTCCGTCGGGGGGGTTTTCACGGACAACTTTCTACAGGCCGCATCGCTTGCGATGGTGGAAGGTGTTTTTATAGCGGGGTAAGCCGGTGCATCGTGAGACGCGATAGGCGGTAAGAGTGTACCCTGCATTCCATTGAGGAGTGGGCCATTGGTATTGTCCCCACTATTCAAACGCTTCTGCCGCATCATCTGCACAAACGCGCTTCCCGAAGTCATCTGCTTCGAGGCGTCCGAACGCATCGCGGCGAGGGCGCGTGTGAGGCTGATTTGGGGATTATCCTTGCCCTTATATATTCTGCTGAATATCGCTCAAAAGACGTAATGATGAAGTATGATAGGACAAGGAGAGGAAATACCGCAATGCAAGCAACAGAGTTAAGAGAAGATCAGAATTCAGATGGAATAGCTAACAATGCGGGTTTTCATCCTCAGGTAAATATTTTTTCTCAATTCTGAGGAATCACCTTGGCTACTCCCCAGCAGAAGACACTTAAATTAATTATACAAAGTAAGATCCGACAAAGTAATGAAAAAAAAATCGTTCTTTACGTTTAACATATAATAAAAAGATTTATGTTAGCACAGAAAACACTGTCCAGTGTTTTTTTTGTTGAAAGAAGCCTGTTGCCTTCCATCATCACACAAATTCTATGCTATCAAGTGCTTTTGTCATCCACTATTAATTATTTATACTTCAATAAATATGATAATCCATTTAAAAAAGCCATTCAAACCCCTGAAAAATAGCTGATTGCTGGTCCTTTGCATTCATCAAGTGCAACTCAGATTAGACCTAGATATTGACACCATGGCTATACTCTACAGTTGATTGGGATTATCTAGTGGTGGTCTACCTTACTTTGACTTGGACAAGTCTGCTCGACTGTCTAGAAAAACCGCTTTTTGAGCTTAGCAACAAGCAACAATATCACCGCGATAGTCGCGATGAACAGCGTATCCCAAAAAGTAATAATTTTTCTATTATCATCTTTAAGATCAGAGTTTTGATTCTGTTTGACAAAGGCACCGAAGCGAACACTAAGATATGTTTGTGGAAGAATACCTAGAAAAGTAGCTGCTACAAAGACCCCAACTGGGACTCCGACCACAGGTAAAGAAAGGTTTACTAACCAGTTCGGAAGGATCGGTGTGAGGCGCAGGAAGAGTATATAAATGAAGAGGTCTTTACGGTGACGATTAACTTGTGTGCGAATATTCTGGAGACCTTTTCCATTCATGAGCTTTAAATCCAAGAAATCGACCAATGAGATGCCGATAGTGCGGGAAAGCGTGTAGCAACACAACGCGCCAAGGGTCCCAAGAAAAGCGCAGAAAGGTACCCCTACCAGAGTGCCCATAATTGCCCCAAGTGCTGTGTTCAGTATCACAGTTCCAGGAATGCAAAATAATTGAAGAAATAAATAAAACAAAGCGATAAGCACTACTACCTGATTGCCGTTCTGATAAACAATAAGCTGAAGTCCTCTGTTGAACTCAGCTATGCCTTTACCCGTGCGTAGCGAGGTGCTCTCCGCGAGGACCAATGACTTGATCTCATGAACTACCTGAGAAGAATACGTAAAGTAATAAAATAATGTGGAGATACATATAGTGCATATACATGCTACCAACACAAGTCGAATTTGTTGTCTGAGAAACCCCTTCGGAACCTTTGCTATTTCGAACCCTTCGATTAGCGACATCTCACAGAGGATATAAAAATGATAATATAGAAGCCAATGTATACTGTAAGAATAAATGACTGAATTGAGGTTCTATTGTAAGGAATTCAATTCAAATTAGTGGTACTTTTTATGAAAAATGATCATTCGCCTGGGAAAAAAAGATGAAATAGGAACACTTCTTATAAAATGTATAAAAAGAAATTAGTGGGATAACGACGTATTTTAAACAGTGTAGCGGAATATCCGGTTCAGATATGTTGTAGAATTTTATACTGTTATCACAAGATGAATATAACGATAAGGTAAAATATAAATATTTGACTATATGCAATCCATAATGAGAAAACAAGAACAGCCAAAGGATTCTGTGATCAATAAAGGTAAAAGAAATGAAGTACCTTCTACGAAATGTCGAGCAACATAGACTCTGAAAAATCATCTAATAAGAAATAAATGAAAGTGTATTTCTATTCGTTTTTGTTCTTATCATTTGCTCTTTCTGAGACACACCATATAAAAATACGAAGCTTTCAAAGAACCCTATTCACCACGCACCCAGTTAATTGTAATATAATAAGTGCGATTTAGACAAATCTTTATTTTACTTTCAGGAGGACAACAATAACAAAATGCCCTACTTGGATGCATAGCGATGTACCGTCATAAAGCTATTTCGCTCCCCAGCTCTCATACCCACCCATACACAGAGGGCGGAACATATAGAATGTTCGTAAACACTACGCGACACGCCCACATCAAAACTGCGCCAATGCAAAAAAGCGCTTACTGATAAAAGGAAAATAAAATGCCACCATAATATCACCATCTAAGCAATGCGTGGTACAGCCAACGCAGGGAGAGCTAACTCATCCTGCTGCCCATCAACATCATCGTCCTCGCGGTAACGCTTTCGCAGAGCCTCGCCGAAGAGGTTGCTAGGGGGCAAAGACGACTCCGCGTCCGGGTCTTCCTTCCCCAGCACCGCCTGCACAGTGAGCCCCCCTCCCCCCTCCTCCACCTCCTCTTGGTCCCTGCGGAGGAAGGGGTCCACGGGCTTGCCCCGAACCCCCAAGGCAGGGGATGGCACCGCTGCTGCGAGGAAGGTCGTGCGGGGCGGCCCCGTCGGAGGCCTCGCCAAGCCGCCATCGCCCGCAGCCCTGAAGACCGGCTGGGAGCCGCCAATCAACTCAATGGGCTCGTTGAGCACGTCAACTCGGGTGGGAATAGGTGGGGAGGGGGCGGCGGCCGGGGGGGCTGCCGCCCGAGCGCCAGGGGTGCTCCGGGTGAAGGGGTTGGTCGGTTTCGCGGCGGGGGCAGAGGAGGGAGCGGGCGCGGATTTGCGCACTTCGGCTGTCGTTGTGGTGGTGGTGGCCGTTGTTTGGGTCAGGGTGCTTTGCGTATCGGCCGTGAAGTTGCTGCCCCCGGACGGAAGCTTAAAAGTAACACGCTGACGCATTGGCGGTGATTGTACAGTGGTTATGGTGGTGGCCGTGGTGACCGATTTGCTGGAAGGAGATATTTCCAATGTCTTGACGCTGTTAGCCCCAGCTAACTGTTTATTCGGTGTCTCAAAGTCAGCAGGACCCACTGAAGTCGGTTTTGTTTTTGTTGGCGCGGCCTCAGTGATATTACCGCTCCCCGTTTTTTCCGGAGAGTGCTGCGTGGCTTCCCTAGGTTCGCCACGCTGCAAGTCTTCCTTCTCCTTCAGGAGCGGCTTCCGCTGGGGCGGGTCTCGCCCCTTTTCACTCATCACCGATCCCTCCAGCGGTAGCGTGCACTTCCGTCTGCTTACTGTCTTTAAACGATCATACCGAGCAATAAGCTCTTCCATGAGTTTGCTGGAGCCCTTTTTATTCGCCTCCTTCGCACACACCATAACATTATCGCGTAGCTCCATCAACGTTGCAAAGTCAAACGCACGCGCGGCGAACTGCTCTTGCAGGGCCCACTGGAATAACCCCAGCAGCTTATTATCATGCCGCGCATCGTGCAATGCGATTGCCTTGGTGTACACGTTACTGTGCAGCTTCAGCTCATCGGTACGAATCTCGCGGCGCAGCATGTAATCCCAGGTGACTAGGTCCTTCTCATTCATAGTGCGCGTGAGAGGGATGAACAGGGGGACGTGCTCAGTCGGCAAACCTCCAGACACCGCCGCAGGGTAGAGCGACCCTGCTGTAGCTGAAGAGCGGTAAGCATAGAGCGATTTGTCATTCACGCCCCAGATCCACAAATTCGTGCTCGAATCGGCGATCGAGCGTGGATCGTAGACCGGGACCCAGGAGCCACCCCAGCTCTCCGTGTACATGCGCACCACCCCCGCAGTGTCCGCCGTGTGCAGCGGGCCGTCTTCCGACCAGCCGAACCACTGGAGTTCATGCGTGGTGCCGTCTGAGGACTCCGTCAGCGGCACCACGCGCGCGGGCACAACGTTGGAGCGGTTCACCACGTTAATCACCTCCATCTTCAGCTCCCCGCCCTCTAGGTACACCACCGCGAGGGGGTCGAAGTCGACCTTGTAGCTGTCCATGAGCTTTTGGCTTGAGGTTCCCGCCATCGTCACCACCTTTGAGAACTTACTTAAGACGCCAATCTCAAGCCCAGAGAACAAGAACAGTCGCAAGTACCGACTCGTCGCCACTGCGATGAAGCGAATCCCTGCCACCATACAGCGAACTGTCTCCCCGGGGAGCAGGCGCACCCGCCAGTCTGATTGGGCGCCGAGCGATACAAAGGTACGGAAGTAAACCACCAGCCGTGGGGCGTCGTCAACGCTGTCGATCATCTCGGTGTCGCCACCAACGTCCGACGGGAGCACGACGAACCCCACGCCAACCGGGCTCAAAGTACCCATCAGAATGACACCATTTTCGTTAATCCGAACGGCAGGGTGGGATATATCGTGAAAATGCACCGTGGCCGCATCGCGCGTGCAGCGAATAAAACCGACTGAATTGTAAGCAAGGTAGCAACTCCCTTCATCGCCGGGAGGAGTAGCGCCTACCTGGAAAGAGTAATCGCGCACCATAGGGCTGTGTCTCGGCATGGATGCCGCCACAACGTCATTAGGGCTACCCGCAGTCGTCCCCTGGGCCGAAACTGAACTCCTATCGCACGCGTCGGAGCCCCCCTCACCTTCATAAGGAACTCCACCTTTACTATCATCCATCTCATGTGTGTGGTGGCGATGAACCCGCTCGCCATACCCGTCCTCTTGGGATGCCATTTCGTCCTCTTCATCGGCGTCGCCGGAAGAAGCCTCCTCCGCTTCATCATCCAAAAATCGCGATGGCTGACGCCGAATACTGGCAACTACACGCCTTGGATCCTCTTTGCGCCACCTTGACGACCGAACGGTGCCGTCCACGTCGGTAAAATCCGTTCCATGTCTCTTTAAATCCCGTACCACTTTCTCTAAGTCCTCTTCTACTTCCTCCTCACTTGCATCGGTGCCACTCACACTGTTGGTTTCGGAAGACGAGCCATCTGCATCACTCATGCCATCACGGCTGCCAGTGCTTGTGGACGCATCATTGATAAAATCCTTCTCGGATGGTGCCCTTTTAAAATGTCCTACTCTTTCCTTCCTTAACTTAGCCTTCGTCCGTTTGTCAATAGTTTTGCTTCCCTCGTCGTCGTCAACCGTTTCGGCGTCTCGGTTGGTATCGCCCTCAGCGTTGGCTATATGATGCTTTTCTTTACTTGACTGTGGCATGGTTGTTTTAACTGTGTCGAGACTCTTTGGGGCCACGCGGTGCAGCAGCGACACCTTGCCGCTGAGAAGCCCCACAACGACGTCGCCAGTCCGCTCGTTCACCTGCATATCAGTGATAGAGTGCTCGCTGTCGTATTTCTGAAGATGATGATGCGTCATAGCAAGTTTGCCGTTGCTCACCTTGGCCATATAAAGCCCCTCTTGCGATGCCATCACGCACATCATGCGCTGAGAGGATAGAGGGTAAAGCCCGACGCTGTGGAAGTCCATTAGCTTCTCCCCATGGAGCCCACCCATGCACCGCATTTGGTAACCGGAAAGCGATGCGAAATCGCCAGACACCTGGTAAATGAGAACCTCCGTGGCGGTGGGGATGGCGAGGACTGCACCGCCGCTGGTTTGACACCATTGCATACGATATGTGCACGCATCCTCACGCTTGGCTGATGGGGATAGAATGTTGTGGAAGATGAATCGGACTTTTCGGAGCATCTCCACCTCCAAGAGCTCCCGTTCAGAAAGCTGCGTCTCGGATTGTGTGAAAGGATCGGCTTTCTCAGACTTAGAGGGCGAAGCGGCAGGAGGCACAACTCCGATGACAGCGATTGTTCCGCCAGCATTCGCAACCGCCAGTAACCTCCCACACGGCGAGAGAGCCAGGGCTACCAACGGGTGCGGTATGGGAAGGGGAATGGTCTGGATGTTCATCCGATTGCCGGTCATATGAAGGCAACGCAGGGAGTCGCCGCCGACAAACAGGCGCTGTTGTACGGCATCAAAGTACAAACAGCGAACTTCACCGGTTACACGGCAAATGACCCTTGACGTGGACTTGTTCGCGTCGTCCCCAGTTTCGTTAATGTTTTCGTGTAATACGATTTTCCCGTCCCGCCCGCATGATAGAGCCAAATGGAGGGCATCGTGCAGAATGACGTAAGAGACTCCCGATTCGTGGCATTGGCGCGCCCACAGGGAAGCGCTCTGCGGCCATCGTTTAATAGGAAAAAGAGCAACAACGCCGTCCGCACCGCCTGTGAGGACGTGATCACCGTCGATGGCGACGCGTGTCGTACCTCCCTCGTGTACATCTCGAAGACCCAACATATGCCCCTTGTGTAAATATGGCTATAGTGTAATACTATAAGAACAGGGTTTCAGACTATATGTGTGGACTCAAATGAGTTGAGGGGATACAACCAACTCTTTCAGTCGGTGTGTCTGTATGAATGTTAAGATGTATGGATAATAATGCTCCTGCCGTTTTTATTGCCTTCTATATATCGCTATTTAGTCTAGTCTATGCTGTATGGGTGGCTTTATGAGAGTAGGGTTCTTTAAAAAGCCTCAGTGGGAAAAAAATCCGTGAATAAAGACAAAACAGAGAAGCAAATAATCGGAGTAATAAATAATATAATGAACATATAAAAGTAATAAAGACAAAGCGAGGGCTCATCAAAAGAATTTTAATCTCTTTGTGTATGATCAAAGCTGATGCATGAACTTGTAGACTAATAACTCCGTGTATGAAAATGAAAATGAATCGTAATGGTTACTAATATTTTGTATAAATTACCATTCAAACTTATCTTTTATTTGGGATTATAAATATAAAATAGGAAGTTTTATAAATTCCCAAAAATATATCGAGACACAAAAACCACGATCACTTCTCACGTGGACAGTTAAAACAGTTCAAATAGTTAAAACTAAAACTAAAACAATTCAAAACACGTCATCACTTGTCTGATGTAATATCCTCTTTTCAAGCGAGAAAAAGATACCATTCACTCTCTGAAAAGCAAAACAATGAAAAAAACTAAATATCATAAAACTCAAAGGTTTTAACAACCATTTAAAGAAATATCACAGCTCCCTTTCCCATAAGATACACCTGATTAAATCAATATTGGTTCGCCTTCATATAAGATTCGGGTGGTGATAAGACAACAAAATCATTACACTAACCCATATATTTACATATATATGTTAATAAATCAATTAATCAAATGATATATATATATATATATATATCAATCCTTTTGGAATTAAGTTCGACAGGTCCAAACATTTTCAAAGACCAAATCAATCGCTTCAATTCCTTACCCATTTGCTTTACAATGTCTCAGTGGCTGTAATTCTAATCTAAAATTTCGTAGAAGCATCCTTGGAGAGTGATGAAACCCCTTTCACTCGTGTTGACCGCTTCCTTGCACGCTGCACGGCCTGCATTAGCCGATCCAACGTCATATTATAGTTTTCGGTGTCTTCGCCACTATGGCTTATGCCCCCACCCAGGCTGGTTTGCGTGGTCCGAAGGGATTCCTCACCTAGTGTGCGCTGCCCATTCCCAGTAAGCGAGCTGGAATGGATGCTGCAGGCGCTACAGGTAGGCGTCGTGTCCTCACTAGGGCCGGTACTGACAGGGCTCCGCACGATAACCTCATCGGCGCTTGCCCCGTGTAAAGGTGCGTTCCGCGCGCGCGGCGCTGTATCGGCTTCGAGACAGGGAAGCTCTGCCGCTGGGATCGAGGGAAGGAGGGAGTTCGGGAATTGTTCCCGTAACGACGTGAGCGTGTTGCGGTAATTCTGCCTTAGCTCCCTTAGCTCCGCGTGGAGCTGTGCGACCTCTTTTTGGTAGTCCTGCAACGCATTGCAG